AAATTACAACAGCAGCAGCAGTATAAAACAAAAACACAGTAAGTAAAGCTGCTAAACCTGGGTGAGATGAAGAGCAGAGCCCATTATCAAATATGCTAGGAATATCTCTGAGAAATTTTTATTGTAAATGATACTTGTATATTATGGTGATAGATGCTCTAGAATTACAATCTAGATAGATACAAGCTGCAAAGTCCCAAGTGAAGAAGCAGCCATGCATTGATGAGGTCTCATAAAAGTCTCTCCTCTTATGGAAAGAGACACAGATGTAATCCATTTTAATGAAGATTTTCAGTGGAATTCACGGATATACCCAAATGTATGCATTCCCTTCTGTAATTACAAATGTACTCCAGAGAATTATTCATGTCAAAGAAGCTATAAACCCAGATGGTTCTCTTAATAGCTCTTGTAGGTCACCTTCTTTAATGGCTCCAGATAGACAGCCTTTCAAGCTTTCACTCTCAATGGGGGAAATTAGGTTGTTTTCAGAAAGCTCAGCTGCTGCTGAGGGAGATTTCTTAGAGATTGAATCTGGTAGATAAAATTGTGGATCCTGCTTCTGGGAACCCAATCCTTTCTGGCACCCTGTAAGCATTCTGAAGTATTGTCTATGCCTTAATTTGGTAGTACCAGTTTTAAAAAAAATTAACTAGTCATTTTATCGTGGCTGCATAATAATCTATGTCCTTTACAGAAGGAGAATCCTGAGTTGCTGGTAGATGAGCCAATATTGAACGCATCCATTTTGGGGATCTATAAACAAAAAAGCTTCACAGTTGGTGGTAGAGGGGGTTTTGTTTGAAAGCTCCAGTAAAGTGGATAGTTTGAGAACTTATCTTTTATTACATGAAGCTTTTTGATATGCATCAAGAATTCTGATACAGCAGTTTCAGAAGCTTAGTAAAAGCCCAGAGGGCAGTAAATCCCATTTTGAACTGGCCCAGCTAACTACCTCCAAAACCATCAATAGTTTTGTGAGTGATGCAACTTAGAGTATAATTAAAATAGGTGTTTTAACGTTAAGCAGCTGGCATAGTGAGAAGTTACCTGCTTTATATGACCTGATAAAAAAGACTTTTGTCCTGGTGTAGATCTTAGATAGAACAGCCCAATGGATTCAATAGTCGGTGGAGAAGATTGCACTTTAAAATTTGCATCAAAACTCTAAAGGAACTGTTTTGTGTTCAGTCTCCTTGCCCGAAGTCAAACAAATGGGAAATGATTTGGTGTGTGCTAGTTATCTCGTGGAAATCAAGGTCTTTACTCTAAGAAGATGGGTCCCTGTCCATTCCAGTCACCATGTTTATTTCATTGTCTTCATGAAAAGAGAAATATTTCACTTGGTAAAAGTAAATATGTTCCTGACCTCATTTAGGCTATGTCTACACTACATCTTATGTTGACATAACTTACGTTGCTTAGGGGGGTGAATAAGTCACCCCCGAGCGACATAAGTTACACTAACAAATTTATTTGAGCATAAGCTTTCGTGAGCTACAGCTCGCTTCATCGGATGCATGCAATCAATGCATCATCTGATGAAGTGAGCTGTAGCTCATGAAAGCTTATGCTCAAATAAATTTGTTAGTCTCTAAGGTGCCACAAGTACTCCTTTTCTTTTTGCGAATACAGACTAACATGGCTGCTACTCTGAAATAAGTTACACTGACATAAGCGCCAGTGTGGACAGCGCTATGTCAGCAAGAGAGCTTGTCCCGCAGACGTGGGGGTTTGAGTAGTTAAACCAATGGGAGAGCTCTCTCCTGTCAGCTTAGAGCAGCTACATTAGAGAGCTTACAGCAGTGCAGCTGTGCTCTTAGGTTCTAACCAGAGTAGTGCATTGGATTTCACCTTCTGGGTTCCTGCGCTGTTGGGACTTATAGGTTGCATCTTTGCTCATACTAAGGTCACTGATGTGTTGGCGTTTTAGGGCTATGATGTATAGCAACATCCTGCAAAAAAGTGCTACCATTCAGTCTATTTACATTCTTGTGGAAATTTACCTAAATTATAGCAGTCTTAGAAACAGCTGTAAGATAAGAAGGTCTCTTGGATGACTGATTCAGGACTGATTAGGACTGCTGGGCTAAAAACCCATCTTTTTAAAATGGGAGCTGAGATTCTCTTGAAATCTTACAGAAAGACCCTACCTAAATTTACACTATAGCATGGAATTTCTGCAGCATGAAATTCTGTGGCCCTCCTACTCAGGGTAAAATCTAAGCCCAATGACATACCAGCTCTCAGAGAGTTCTAGCTGGGTGTTAGATGAAGAAGAGTATGCATAACATGCAACCACTGGCATATCTGTTATAAAGACTTGATAGAAGGGGCTAAATCCTGATACCTCCTGTATGTGGTAGCAAGGGACATATAAGACTCAAACATAAGTAAGCTGTACTCTGGACTTCAGCAATCCTGAGGACCCACTGGCCTGATAGAGGGGATCCATATCAACTATGTGGAGTTGCTTGGAGGAAACCTCGTGTATGATCATAATTCATGACAATTTGCACTTACATAGTGCCTTTGATCCAAGGATATGCAGGAACTGATCCCACAGTTCTTGTGCAGACAGAACACCCTTTGAAGTTAATGGGATTCAATAGGTCAATGCTGGGACTACAGGATTTGGACCCACAAAGATTAGCTATACTCCACCACTTTTGTGAGAGGTTGTTAAAGATTATTATTCCCATTTGACAGAAAAGTTAAACCAAAGCACAGAGAAGTAAAGTGATTTGCCCAAGGTGATGCAGGGAATCAATGGAAGAGTCAGGCTAATAGAACCCTCCGTAATCACTGGACCACGCTTCCTTTCCCGGGGAGAGGGATAGCTCAGTGGTTTGAGCTTTGGCCTGCTAAACCCAGGGTTGCGAGTTCAATCCTTGAGGGGGCCATTTAGGGATATGGGGCAAATATTGGGGATTGGTCCTGCTTTGAGCAGGGGGTTGGACTAGATGACCTCCTGAGGTCCCTTCCAACCCTGATATTCTATGATGATTCTAGGGGTTTTATACTTGTACCTTTGGTTAAACAGTTAAAGATTCATTATAAAAAACTATAAGATGGTTTACGCTGTAAAGCTAATTAAGCTGAAATTTAAACTAAATTCTCTAGCAGACCTAATCACAAAATTACTTCCAAGTGTCATTTAAAGGCTGTTTGTGAGAGTGCAAAAACCCAGTCTATTTACAGTACACTCAAAGACCCTGTCTACACTTAAAAATTTTTGCAAAAGATTTCCCACCTTTACTAACCCTGGTTCAGCTCCACTATTGCTTAGATGGGCCACTGGCTACTGTTGGCATTTTTAAAAAAAAACGCTGATATGGAATCCTACTTGAGAGCAGATCTAATCAATGTGATGTTAAAAACAATGACAGCAGTTGCTGGCCTGCCGATATGAGGGCTCCCAATGTTGCTCACATTGGTGGACATGAACGAATGATAGCCACGTTGGGTAATCTGAAAAAAAAAAATCTTTTCCTGATTACAATCATAATTTTATATTGTGGTGGTCTCCAAATGCGTATGAATAGAAACTTTTCATCATATTATTTTTGAAAAATCTAAAAACTTGCATGGGCCCCCAGGCAAGTAGAGTTCACCCTCACTCCCTCTCAGATCAAGTGAGAACTGGTGTAGGTTATACAAGTCTCTTGCATTAATTTTTAGAGGAAACAAAAAGAAGAAATTACTTTTGAAAATCTTAAGTTCAGGAAAAAGGCAAAGACAGAAATAACATTTAGCAGTTCAGGCAGGGTTTTTTTTTGTGTCTATGTGAGGTGAGTTGAGTGGCTAAAATGAGTAGGATGTCTATTTCTGACAATGTAATATAATACTTATTTTATTTTGTACCATAAACATGAAGATTAAAATATTACAAAATAAATATTTAATTACACTACTCCTATAATGTTTTTTTGGGAGCAAGAGACTTCAGGAAGTCATTACTATTCTATAGGTATCTGTTCTGTGGCTCACATTCTCACAGTTTGATCTGTGAGAATGTGCTATCTTCTCAGCAGTGAGAAAGAAAGGCAGGTATTCACCAGCTAGAAGATGGAGAGAGAGATGCTGCCAGTTACAGTGCCAAGGGTGGCCACTTTAGGGCAACGGTTGCTTGGTTCTGCCAAGTTTAAAGGACCAGCATCAGAAAGGCACACTGGAAAAAGTTCCTATAAAAGTGTAGCCCTGTTCTGTGGAGAGTTAGTAGGGACCAGGAAGCTGCCAAAGAAGGTGCTTCTAGGGAAAGAGGTTGCTTTGGTATTGTGCTGACTGGCATTCTACAACATGGGATGCAGCAAATGCATTTCTTTCTTCAGCTATATTTCGCCTTTTGTTAGCCCAATGAGGTGCTCAGTACATGCTATTTATTTCTCAGCCCACCGCTTTGAGACTTTTATACGGGTTCTCCCTCTCTTGGAATTTCTCAAATCATTGACCTCTTGATCTGAAAAGTAATTGTGATGATAAAAATAATTTTAACAAATGCCTAATTGTCCCTAGCTGTTCTCTGATGTAAGATAGCTGAGACCTAGCAGTATCTTGAGATTTTTCAAAGATACTTGTACGCTTCTGTTCCTTTCATAGTTTAAACTTCAGACTTCCTGAGATTTAGAACCAAGACTCAGTGGTGAAAGATATTAGTAAACCCACCATGCATCTTTCCTAAGAGGCCTCTCTTTGAGGATTTGACACTCTTTAAAACAAAAGCTAACCTAGGTAGAGGATAGCTTTTCCCTGGAGCTAACCCATGTGTGGATATGCGGCACACCATCTTGTCATGTCCATTTGAGCCCCCATTGAATCTCTTGCAGTAATATTGTACCAGCAATGTGGGAAACCAAAAGCAGACAGAAGATCTAAATGACATTTGTCGTTGCTCCATTCTCTGTGCTGTAGTAGGTTTTACATGTTGTTGTGTGTTATCAGGTGGTTTATCTTCTTTGGTACTGAAAAATCTTTGATTTTTGTGTCTACTTCTCTGATAGCCACGAGCTGTTGCGGGTTTTCGAGGAACAGTACGCTATGCATCAGTCAATGCTCACAGAAACAGAGTGAGTATCTGTGCTTACATCCCACCTGTCTGAGTTTTCTAGTAATTAAAAACACTGTCAATTGTGTATATAGTATAAATCTTGCTTCATTTTCTGTGTCCCTCTGTCATTATTATATAGAAAGATGTTAGACTGTGGGAAATATTTAGGAAAGAATAGGTCACTTTTACGTTACTGTAGATAACTGAATGTCTTATCTTCATAATGGTGTTCTGGTTGCAGAAATCATAATAGTTTTAATTATTATCATCACTGTTTTAATAATACCACAGAAGAATGGAACAGGGAAGATGAAATTATCAGGTGATAACATATTATATTTACAGTATATTCCACTGATCATCATGATCTCAGCATATTAGAGAATTTTGGACAAACTACTATTGCCAGTGTGATGATATTTCACTTCACAGTAAAATGATGTACATCCCTGTAATCATATTTTAACATGCTTCCTCTTCTATTTTTTTCTGTGCTTTTTATTCTTCCATCTGAAGAGATGAAAAAGGAGAGAGTGTTTTCCTACTTGCAGTATTATAGGGGTCTGTTTTGCAATTTTTCTTCTAATCAGTTTTATTGGGAATATACAATAGTTGAAGTCTCTAGAACAGGGGTGGGCAAACTTTTTGGCCCGAGGGCCACATCTGGGTATGGAAATTGTATGGCGGGCCATGAATGCTTATGAAATTGGGGTTGGGGTGCAGGAGGGGATGAGGGCTGTGGCTGGGGGTGTGGGCTCCAGGGTAGGTCCAGACATGAGGAGTTCAGGGTGCAGGAAGGGGCTCCGGGATGGGGCAGGGGCAGGGGTGGGGTGAGGACTCTGGGGTGGGACTGGGGATGAGGGTTTGGGGTGTAGGAGGGGGATGAGGGCTGGGGCAGGGAGTGAGGAGTGGGGGGTGTCTCAGGGGTGCAGGCTCTGGGCGGCGCTTACCTCAAGTGGTTCCCGGAAGCAGTGGCATGTCCCCCCTCCAGCTCCTATGCGGAAGTGTGGCCAGGCGGCTCTGCTGCGCGCTGCCCCATCCACAGGCACCGCCCCTGCAGCTCCCATTGGCTGCAGTTCCCGGCCAATGAGATCTGCAGGGACAGCTCTTGGGATGGGGGCAGCATGCGGAGCGGAGGCCCCTGACTGCCCCTATGCATAGGAGCCAGAAGGGGGACATGCTGCTGCTTCTGGAAGCCACGTGGAGTGGCTCCCGACCCTGCTCCCCAGCTGGAGCGTGGAGTGGGGCAAGCCCCAGACCCAACTCCTCAGCAGGAGCTCAAGGTTCTAATTAAAACGGCTGGCGGGTCAGATGCAGCCTGCGGGCCGAAGTTTGCCCACTCCTGCTCTAGAGTAATACAGGATCCAGCAAAGCCCACTAGCTCTGATTGCATAGTAGTAAGGTAAAGTACAGCAGTTCTGAGGAGTAATAAAATTCCATCCCTCTTCTTTTTCACAGGAAATGGGAAGGCATGATGACCTCTGGTCCCTGTTTTACATGTTGGTAGAGTTTGTGGTCGGACAGCTGCCTTGGAGAAAAATAAAAGACAAGGTAAAATCTAGAAATAAGGATCTTAGATGGGCATTGCACATAAACACCTTCATGAAAAATCTTCTCAAGAATCATTGGTTCATAAAATTCTAATGTTACATTTTGCAGCAGTTTCTAGTTATTTCCTCCCCCTCACGTCACAGTGCAAATGTCATGGCATAAAGTGTTGTGGAGTGTTACAAATAGTCTTAGTTTGCAAGGGAATTTAGACAGAGTTTACAGTTTTTACAGATTCATTATAGAGGGCAAATATAAATGTACATACATTAATTCATGGCCCTATTTTGAAACCAGTGCTTTTTGCCTTCACAAACCTTCTGTACAAAGTTTGACATTTCATCTTGGAAATAGACATTCAGTATTTGCTGTTAGACAAAGTTAGCCCAGTAGATCTGTGGTCATGCTATTAGGCAGATGTCTTATGGGAGGTAAGCAAAGAAAAAGAAACCTCTGATGGCTTGTGTCCACTACTTGTGTCTCCCTATTTTGAATGTATAGCATAATCAAAAGCACTTTCTGATTAACTTAGCTATGTTGGTAGATGAAGATGGGCCATACAAAGGACTGCTCTTATTCTTCTGACTTTGGAAACCACAGACTAACTGATATTGGACTGAATAAAAATACTAAAAAAAGTCTACTCTGAGGAGTAATTGTGTATCAGAAGTGAACTGAAGTAGATGACGTAATAGAACTTTTTAATCCCTATCTATAATTCTAGTAGAGTTATAATGCCCAATTATAATCAGTGGTGTCAAACAGCAAGAAAACACAGAGAGAGAGAGAGAGAATTAGACTAGCATTTAAGTATTGAGTTGGAGGTTTTAAAGGACGTTTTACATTGGTGCTAAGGACAGTGGCAGGATCTCTGGTCCTGCTATAACCTAAAGGATTAATCTCCTTTTCAAACACCCTTCAACTCTGACCAAAAATATTGCACTTAATGCCTGTGATGTATGGTGTGAATATTCTGCAGTTGGGAATGGTGGTATGCTAATGCTTTTTGTGCTAACTGTTCCTAGGAGCAAGTGGGCTCCATAAAAGAGAGATATGACCACAGGCTCATGTTGAAACATCTCCCCCAAGAATTCAACATCTTTCTAGATCACATCTCCAATTTAGATTACTGTACAAAACCTGATTACCAGGTAAGGCTTTTTACTTTTTTGTATTTCTCATTTTTAAATAATCTTGTTTTGCCTTATTTTATCAAAATTATCCTTCCTTTGATCTGATCCTGTATCCATAACGATAATGATTATGGACTGTCCCACTGTAGAGCTATTTTAATGGCCATAAGGTACTTTTGTGAAGTTTGGTAGTTTGATGCTAAGATAGTTTGAAGGCTACAGTGTTGATCTGCTGGATGACCTGCAATGGGCCACTGTATCAGTAATCTAGCTTTTGTGAAGGTGTGGTAGAGCCATGGTGCTGTGTTGAGAGCCATATTTTATCTACAACTGTGATGTGAGGGGTTCCCTGCAAACAGAGGTATGCAAACCATTTGTAATCTCTTTTGGCCAATTCTAGGTGGTGTGACAGTGTCGGGCCGGATGGCTACAGGAGAGTAATAGAAGGCAGATATATTAGCCCCAGGTTAAGTAGGTCCCTTTTCCCTCAGTAAGGTAACAGGGAAGGTTCCAGAACAATCAGGAACCTTCTGGAGACAATTAAGACAGACAGGCTGATTAGAACACCTGCAGCCAATCAAGAAGCTGCTAGAATCAATTAAGGCAGGCTAATCAGGGCACCTGGGTTTAAAAAGGAGCTTACTTCAGTTTGTGGTGCGCGTGTAAGGAGCTGGGAGCAAGAGGTGCTAGGAGCTGAGAGTGAGAACGCATACTGTTGGAGGACTGAGGAGTACAAGCATTATCAGACACCAGGAGGAAGGTCCTATGGTGAGGATAAAGAAGGTGTTGGGAGGAGGCCATGGGGAAGTAGCCCAGGGAGTTGTAGCTGTCGCACAGCTGTTTCAGAAGGCACTCTAGATAGTTGCATTCCACAGGGCCCTGGGCTGGAACCTGGAGTAGAGGGCGGGCCCAGGTTCCCCCCAAACCTCCCAACTCCTGGTCAGACACAGGAGGAGTCGACCTGGACTGTGGGTTCAGAAAAACGGCCAAGCTGAGGGCTGTCATGAAGCTCCAAGGCGAGCAAATCCGCCAATAAGCGCAAGACCCACCAAGGTAGAGGAGGAACTTTGTCACAGTGGGCTTTGAACTCCTCCTGGATGCAGTGCAGGTGTTCAGATACATTGGATGCTGCAAGTATGTGGGAGACTTGTGGCATGGACAGGTGGAGGAAACTGTAGTTGGTGTAGAAAGGACGCTGGTGGGTTGATCTGTGGTTGGAGTTATTGTACACTAATTTGGCAAGAGAGAGAAACGAAACCCAGTCATTCTGGTGGTAACTGATAAAGCAACAGAAGTATTGCTCAAGAATTTGGTTCACTCATTCCATCTGTCCATCAATCTTGGAGTGATAAGATGAGGAGACATGTAGATCCACATTCAGGAGTGTCATGGGGTGCACCACTCACTGCTGGACTGGCGCCTCCTTCTGGTACTCTGGGGATTAGCTTGAGGCCAATGCTCCCGTCCGCTATTTGCACACCATCACTCTGTCCACCTGCAGCTCCTCTCGCAGCCTCAGGAACCATAATGTCTTCTTCATGGCTCAGCCCTCTGGCTGTGTTATTATCCATGTTCCCCCCTTCTGGGGAAGATTAACCCCTCAGTAGTCATAGGCAGTACTCTTGCTCACTTCCTCTGTGCTACTTGCCCAGTGACTGGTAGGGGAACCCGGACCCGCCCTCTTCTCCAGGTCTCAGACCAGAGACTCTCAGCTCAGCAGCCTTGGCCTTCTCTCTCTGCCCTCACTGCTCTATCCTGGGGCTTCTTCCTACCACTGGTTGCCCTTTTCTTCCTGGACCTACGAGTTCCCAAAGCCTCCTCCCTCTTCCTGGGGAGTGACTGCAGTTCCAGCTCACTCCTCCCTTTCTCCTAGGAGTGTCTGCCTTTTCCCAGCCACCTCTTCTCCTTTCAGCCCCTTGGCTTCATAGGCCCTGCCTATTCCTGTCCAGCTGAGCCTCCTTAATCAGGCGCCTAATGGGTTAATTGGCCCATCTGGCCTGCATTAAAACTTGCAGGGTGTGTGTGTGTATTAGTCACCCCATCACAAGGAGCATGCGATGTTAGATAGTTGACCATGGAATTGGAAGACATAGTTAAAAAACAGTTGGGATATATGACGGAGTGAACCCCTGCATCCACACCCTACACACTATTTTAATAATCTTTGTACAAAATATCCCTTGTGAGGTATCATTTGAAAAATAATAACCCACTAGGATTGCTAGGTGTCCGTTTTTTTTACCAGAACGCCTGGTCAAAAAGGGACCCTGCCGGCACGGGTCAGGCTGTTAAAAATCCGGTCATCAGCACAATGGAGCTAAGGCAAGCTCCCTGCTTGCTGTGGCTTGGTGCGGTTCCAGGAAGCAGTGGCATGTCCCTCCTCTGGCTCCTATGCATAGGGACAGCCAGGGGGCTCCGCACGCTGCTCCTGCCCCAAACTTCAGCTCTGCAGCTCCCATTGGCCAGGAACCATGGTCAATGGGAGCTGTGGGAGCGGCGCCTGCAGGTGGGACAGCACGCAAAGCTGCCTGGCTGCTCCTCTGCATAGGAGCCGGAGGGGGGACATGCCACTGCTCTGGGAGCTGCTTGAGCTAAGCTCTGCTCAGAATCTGCACCCCTGACCCCCTCCCAAGCCCCAACCCCCTACCCCAGCCTTGATTGTCCTCCAACCCCCTCAATCCGAGCCCTGAGAACCATCCCTTATCCCAAACGGCTCATCCCCAGCCCAGAGTCTGCACCCCCAGCCAGAGCCCTCACCCCCCCACACAGCCCAACCCCCTGCCCCAGCCCAGAGCCCCCTCCGAACCTCTCAGCTCCAGCCTGGCGTTCCCTCCTGCACCCCAAATCCCTCATTCCTGGCTCCACACCAGAGCCCACACTCCCAACTGGAGCCCTCACTCCCCCCGCACCCCAAACCCCTTCCCCAGCCCAGAACCCCCTCCTGAACCCTAAATCCCTCATTTCTGGCCCCACCCCGGAACCCGTACCCCCTCCCACACCCCAACTCCCTGCCTCAGACTGTAGCCCCTTCCCATACTCTGAACCCCTCAGCTCCACCCCCAGCCCGGAGCCCCCTCCTGCACTCCAAGCCTTTCATTCCTGGCCCCACCACAGCCAGAGCCTTCACCTCCTCCCGCACCGCAATCCCCTGAGCCAGCCTGGTGAAAATGAACGAATGAGTGAGGGTGGGGAGAGCGAGTGACGGGGGTGGGTGGGTGGAATGAGCAGGGGGTGGGGCCTTGGAGAAGGGGCAGGGCAGGGGTGTTTGGTGTTGTGTGAGTAGAAAGTTGGCAACCCTGTAACCCACTGGTCAATAATTTCATGATGAAATATATATAGTAAAAATATATGTAAAGTTATAAACATATGCTGAAATTAGGTCTGAAAGGTGTTTATCAGAGAAGTTTGGGTAAACCAGTTTCTCAGAGACTAAGGACAAGCTGACGCCTCTAGCCAGGTGTCAGTTGGAGGGCAATCACCTATCAAGTGGCCATTCTTTGTCAAGGAAAGGGGTTAGGAACAAACAGATCTGCATCTTAGCAAGCAACAGCATGAAACCTCTTTCACCGCAAGGCTCCTTGTCTCCGTCCTCACAGCAGGAATAAACATTATATAGGGATAACCCTCAAGAAAATGCATTTCAAAGGGGGACTGGACTGTAAAATTGAGGGGCAAAACCACCCCAAGGTATCTGTCCCTATCCATCTCTCATTCACCTAAGAAGACAAAAGAAGCAGCCTTTGGACTATGGGAGCAGATCCTGGCCTGCGAATTTGGTCAGCAATGTTATTGGAAATGTGGTAAGGGATTTCAACTTGAAAGTTTTATTAAGTTTTAGTACTAGGAAGCATTTTATCTTTATTTTGCTTGTAGCCATTTTTTTACTTATACTTGTACTCACTTAAAACCTATCTCTTTGTAGTTAAAGAAACTTGTTTTATTCTTTAATCAAAACAAATCCAGTGTTGTGCTTTAACTAAATTGTGTAGGTAACTCCATTTAAAGCAGGAAACTGTTGGATATTGGTCCTCTGAAAGGGGCAATGGACCTAAAATATCTGGACTGTCCAGAACAGGACTGGACAGTGTAGAACACCTGTTTTGGGGGGGAAATTTGGGACTGGGAGTGTGCTGGGGTCATCCTGCAAGTGATAACCAAGGTTAATGGAAACCGGAGTGTTCTGGCAGGCTGCAGTTATACACAGACATTTAGGACATGACCTGAATGCTGTTTGGCTGTTTCTGAGGAGCCCAAATTGGGAGCTACAGCAGCAAAGCATTGTGAGGCACCCCAGGTTTCAGGGCAAAGGTGAGATAGCTCCTCACTGGTCTGGATTGCACACTGGAATGGCATAGGCTGTTACCTCCTCAGAGGGAATTCGAAGTCATGGCACGAAACGTGACATTTTTGTAAGTACGTCAACAACAACTAGCAGAGTTGTGTGACCATTGGAATTGGGAAAGTCAGTGATAAAGTTCATGGAAATGGACAATCAGGGTTGAGACAGACCTGAGTAGGAGCAGGATTGAGTCCCTGGTTCCTTCACAGGTTTAAAGTGCAGGACAATAAGTGTGACTACAATAATTGTCCTCTGTTGTAAATTTCCATTTTTTGTTCCATGGCAATAGAAGAAACCGCCCCCTTCTTCCCACCCCCTCCACACACTTTCTCCTCTCATAATCTAGGATGGGGGGAAAACTATCAAGATCTAATTAGGAGTCAGTAAATCCCTTCCTGCTGGCCTTTCAAATAGACTTGTTTGATTTGTAGATAATGATATTCTGCGTACTGGCTGAGTCGTAAACTGCAGAGAATGAATCTGAATGAGTGCATCATATTAACTAATTCTGGAATTACAGCTTCCAGAAGACTAGAGATAAGAATATTCATCATCACCATTAAATTACGTTTGGGCATGTGAAACTAATTAGCTTTCCTCTGGAAAAATTTTCTTTCATACTGTTCCACATTCACACATCTGCGGTTCCAAAGTAGAGACTATTTATGTGTAACATCAG